TTCATACGGTTTTCTAAACTGTATTTGTTCATCTCTAAAGTGGTTCCTCAACGCACATACATTTTTACATTTACATGATTTTCAAGTCATATTGTGATTGTCACGCACATACACAGCGTCGAGATACACATTTTCACAATTTTCGTCATATTTTTGCAATCTTTTTATGCTTTTCTGTAATTGAGACCCTTACTTTATGAAAAAATGTTCTTGGAAATTCCAACAGATAAACGTTATGATCAAAATGTGTGATTCTTTCAAATATTTTCACCTACTGATTTATTTTTTATCCGTCACTTTTGTAAATATACAGCATGTTACCGTTTTGAAGACAACAAAATTAATCTTAATAACTGTACCTAATGATACAGTCTTCGAATAGCGCAAATGAATTTGGAGATATAATAATGCAGTGGATAAAAAGAGCAAAAAACTTAAACTGTAACAATATGCTTAAAACAAACCCTGGAACAAAGAGTAATAGAAACCTTAGAAACATAACAAAACCGATAAAAAGGCACTGAATGGGCGAACAACGAGAATGTGGGTCTGAAAAATATGCAAAAGTTATTCTTAGAGCGAGGGGGTTGAAAGAAGTCTAAATTATGCGGATTGTGTTGCTCAATGAATGCGATAGATGTGCACTAATAACACAATCGTTGTTAAAAGAAAGGGGAACTGGGTATGTTAAACAGGAGTTGTTTTCAAACAACTTTCTTAACACTTAACAGTAAATAAACCGCTTCTTGTAAAACTATGTGTATCTAAGGTCTATTAATAGTTTTCGATGATTTCGACATTTTCATGGGGAATTTTGGAGTATACATGTATATACTTCATCCTACGCGAGCGCTCTACCCACCTTCTCAACTGTATTTGTTCATCTTTAAGGTGCTTCCTCAACGCACATAAATTAACATTTACGTGATGTTCAAGACATATTGTGATTGTTAATTGTCACTCACATGCACAGCGTCGAGATACACATTTTCACACTTTTCATCAAATTTCTACAATTATTTTTTGTTTTGTTTTTATGTAATCGAGAACCTTACTAACACTTTTCATCAAATTTCTACAAATTATTTTGTTTTTTGTAATCGAGAACATTACTATATGCAATATTTTCCTTGGAAATTCCAACAGATAAACGCTTTAATCAAAATGTTTAATTTTTTCAATTTTTTTTTCACCTACTGATTTAAGTTAAATCGGTGCTTATCTTCTTCATTACAAAAGGGACAGGGACATCTATTATGGGGATTTGGAGTGCATTTCCTTTTTCGTTGAATAATGGCTTTTGACACAGTTCTACAATTTTTTTGGAAAAGAAATTCTGGAGAACCTGTGCATTGATCCCAGTACCTCTCACATGCCAAGCGAGCGCTCTGCCATTTGTGCTAGATCCCCTTTATACCCACTTTCTCAACTGCATTTGTTCATCTTTTTTACATTTACGTGATGTTCAAGTCATATTGTGATTGTTAAATGTCACTCACATTCACAGCGTCGAGATACACATTTTCACAATTTTCATCAAATTTCTACAAACTTTTTTTGTAACAGAGAACACTTGATTCTTTCAAGTTTTTCACCTACTGATTCAAGTTTTAAATGGCGCTTATCTTCTTCATTACCAAAAGGAAAGAGTCGGTCATATGGGGGATTTTGGAGTACCTATACTTTATCCATTTAATAATAACTTTTGACTTAGTTTTACAATTGTTTGGAAAAGAATTTCTGGAGAACCTGGGCATTGATCCCAATACCTCTCACATGCTAAGCGAGCGCTCTACCATTTGAGCTAGATCCCCGTCTTGCTAATTGATGGATTTTGACTAGCTGTGCCACTAAAAAGTGTCTCTTCTACGAAAACGGATTTTTATTGCTAGCGGTCACGCACGTGCACAAATACAGGATCGTGACACCCATTTACACAAAGCGGAAATTATAGCTCATTTAACCTTCGTTCCCCATTTAGAATAACGTTTTGCCTTTTAATAAGGTATATACAAACTACTATTGTTTTTGTATATTTCAGCAATTTGCATAGAGTGTGCTTTTCGCAAATTACAAACTACAAAACAAATGAACATTATGTGTCAATCTTTTATTGTTTTTGTTTGCACCTGATGGTTAAGTCTTTTAAACCCATTAAAAAACTTCTGGATATATTGAAACAAAAATATCTCTGGGAATATCGAATACAATTACCATTTCTTTTTTTTTTTTCTGCGTAAATCTGTCTGAAGAACCTAAGCATTTACCATTATTTAGATTGGTTATAATTGTCAGCTCTCACGCACAGGATGCGACAAGCAACGGTATGCACTGTCACTTATTAAACATTCTTTTTGCATTAATCTTTCTATTTCTTTAATTAACTATCTCTTTTTTTTTTTTTTTTTTTTTGATTGATTGATGGTTTTTCTCCTATTCCAGCTAAATTAATGTGCAGCTGATCCTGATAATAATACAGTAAGAACCTAGATATTAAGTTAAACCTGGTGACGTAGGCATGACTCCTCAGTGCAAACTCATATTTTGATCAAATGTTTTTTTGTTTTTTTTTTTTTTGTCTACTTCAGTCAATATATGTGGTCCAATGCCCATTTTTATCCTCTCAGTTAGAAATCGAGGGGAAAAATATATGATGCTGTAACTAATGAAGTTGGATGACCCTGCGCTGGTGAAACCAGGATTTTACGAAGGGGGTGGGGAGGGGGTACACAAGGACAACAGATTCTGACTCCATTACCTGGCTAGTATGAAATAGTACACAAGGACAATTTCACAGTGCATGTTTATATACCGGTAGGTTTTAAGGGTGATATTGCCTCGTTGGGTTCGTTATATATATATATATATATATATATATATATATATATATATATATATGTATATATATATATATATATATATATATATTTTTTTTTTTTTTTTTTTTTTTTTTTGGGGGG